CAAACAATTGGCTGAAAATTCTGGTGGAAATTTTTCAGCCAATACTCATACCAATCCAAAGGAGAATTGTAGTGCAATTACAACAAGAGGTGGTAAGAGAGTGGGTGTGTTGGAGGATGAGGAAGATCAACAAGAAAATGAGGTAGAAATGAGAGAGGGAGATGGAGAAAATAATGAAAAAAATACAAAAATAGAAAATGCAAAAGAGAATGTCATAGAGGGAGAAGAGTTGGCTGAGCCAACTAGCAAGAGAATTGAAGATGAAATCCAAGGTGTCTAGTACCAAGGATATGCCATATCCCCCAGCCCCAAGTAAGAAGGATAAAAGAGAAGCAATTTGCACGCTTCATGGAGCTTTTTAAGAAGCTTCAAATCAACATTCCATTCTCAAAGGCATTGGAGAAGATGCCCACTTATGCAAAATTCATGAAAGACCTCTTGACAAAGAAGAGAAAGTTCATTGAGCAGGAGATTATTGAGTTGGAAGCGGGATGCAGTGCCATAATTCAAAAGAACTTACCTCCCAAGTTCAAGGACCCTGGAAGTTTTACAATTCCAATCACTATTAGGGACCTATCAGTGGGAAGAGCACTGCTAGACTTGGGTGCAAGCATTAACCTCATGCCTTTGTCTATGTTAGATAGAGTTGGCCAGGCCGTAGTAAAACCGACCCGCATGACTTTGCAACTAGTTGACCGGTCTATCAATTATCCCTATGGTGTGATTGAAAACATGCTCGTTAAAGTTGACAAATTCATATTTCTAGCTGATCTTGTGGTTATGAATATGAAAGAAGACTCTGCTATTCCTATTATCTTGGGGAGGCCATTTATGAAGACTGCACGAGCAATCATTGATGTAGAGAATGGTGAATTTCAATTGAGGGTCCATGATGAGGTGATCACTTTTAATGTATTTGAAACTATGACCCATCCGAATGATAAAGGTGCTTGTTTCCGAATGGATGTGCTGGACGAGGTAGTGCTTAAGGCTACACAACAGCTAAAAAAGTCATCTTCTCTTGAATGTGTGTTGACTGATACTATGGATGAACTCGATGAGGAGGATGTGATTGAAATGTCTGAATGCTTGAAGCACCTAAATACTTTCAAGGAGATTTCACCTAGTGATGCCAACCATGAGGAGTTAAAAGGTGATAGCACACTAGTGAGCACTAAGCCAGAGTTGAAGATACTTCCAATTCACCTCAAATATGTCTTTTTGGAGCCAAATGGTGAAAAACCAATCATCATTAGTAACTCCCTGTCTCAATTGGAAGAAGAAAAATTGATTAAAGTCTTGCAGGTGCATAAGGAAGCTATAGGGTGGTCCATTTCTGACCTTAAATGCATCAGTCAATCTTACTGCATGCATAAAATAAACATGGAGAGTGATTACAAGCCAATAGCTCAACCTCAAAGAAGACTAAATCCCATTATGAAGGAGGAGGTGAGAAAAGAGGTTCTAAAGCTCTTGGAAGCTGGGATGATATATCCAATTTCTAACAGTGAGTGGGTGAGCCCCGTGCAAGTCGTGCCAAAGAAGGGAGGAATGACTGTGATCACCAATGAGAAGAATGAGTTGATCCCAACAAGAACAGTAACAAGTTGGAGAATGTGCATAGACTACCGAAAGTTAAATCAAGCCACTAGGAAAGACCACTTTCCCCTTCCTTTTAAGGATCAGATGTTGGAGCGACTGGCCGGTCAAGCGTACTACTATTTCTTAGATGGGTACTCGGGGTACAACCAAATTGCGGTTAATCCTGAGGATCAAGAAAAAACTTCCTTCACATGCCCATTCGGGGTGTTCGCTTACAGAAGAATGCCCTTTGGTCTTTGCAATGCACCAGCTACCTTCCAGAGATGCATGCTGGCAATTTTTGCTCATTTGGTGGAGAAATGTATTGAAGTCTTCATGGATGACTTCTCTGTTTTTGGGTCTTCATATGATGTGTGCCTGGAGAATCTTGAGCTAGTTTTGAAGAGGTGCATTGATACCAACTTAGTTCTGAATTGGGAGAAATGCCACTTTATGGTTCAAGAAGGTATTGTTCTTGGCCATAAAATTTCAGCTAGAGGAATAGAAGTGGACAAGGCCAAGGTTGATGTGATTGAGAAATTGCCTCCCCCAATGAATGTTAAGGGTGTTCGTAGCTTCCTTGGGCACGCCGGTTTTTATAGGAGGTTCATCAAGGACTTTTATAAGATCGCCAAACCTTTGTGCACCTTATTGAACAAGGACCAACCCTTTCTCTTTGATGAAGAGTGCATGAAAGCATTTTTGACCTTGAAGAACAAACTCACCACAGCCCCTGTGATTGTTGCTCCGGATTGGAGTGATGACTTTGAGTTATGTGTGATGCCAGTGACTATGCTGTTGGAGCTGTCTTGGGTCAGCGGAGGAATAAGGTGTTTCACTCTATTTATTATGCTAGGAAAGTGTTGAAAGGAGCACAGTTGAACTATGCAACCACAGAGAAAGAGCTGCTAGCCATTGTGTATGCCTTGGAGAAATTTCGAGCTTATCTTATTGGATCCAAGGTCATCGTTTACACCGACCACGCAGCCATTAAATACCTGCTCACCAAAGTTGAATCAAAACCTCAACTAATCCGTTGGGTCTTGCTACTGCAAGAATTCAACTTGAAGATAAAGGATAAGAAAGGTTCTGAGAATTTAGTGGCTGATCACCTCTCAAGATTAGTCAATGAAGAAGTTACTTGCAAGGAGGGTGAAATCAAGGATGAGTTTCCGGATGAAGCTTTGTTGTTAGTGCAAGAACGTCCATGGTTTGCTGACATGGCGAACTTTAAAGCAACTGGTATCATTCTGGAAGACTATACTTGGCAGCAAAAGAAAAAATTTTTCCGTGATGCCAATTACTATGTTTGGAATGACCCTTATCTCTTCAAGGTAGGGGCTGATAATCTGCTAAGGCAGTGTGTAGCTCAAGATGAAGCCCAGAACATATTGTGGCATTGCCATAATTCCCCCTATGGAGGTCATTTCAATGGTGAACGAACTGCAGCCAAAGTCCTACAATCGGGGTTCTTTTGGCCAACATTGTTTAAGGATGCTTATGATCATGCAAAGAGTTGTGATAGATGTCAGAGAATTGGAAATATTTCCAAACGCCATGAGCTACCATTGCAAAACATGCTTGAAGTAGAGGTCTTTGATTGTTGGGGGATCGATTTCATGGGGCCCTTACCTTCCTCTTACTCAAATGAGTACATATTAGTGGCTGTGGACTATGTTTCCAAATGGGTCGAGGCTGTGGCTGCACAAAAGAATGATTCTAAGACAGTGATCAAGTTTCTCAAGAAAAACATCTTCTCTAGGTTTGGCGTTCCAAGAGTTTTGGTCAGTGATGGGGGAACTCATTTTTGCAACGCTCAATTAAAGAAGGTGTTGGAACACTATGATGTGCGACACAAGGTGGCTTCTCCTTATCACCTGCAAACAAATGGGCAAGCAGAGGTCTCAAACCGAGAAATCAAGCGTATCCTTGAAAAGACAGTGAATGTAAGCAGGATAGATTGGGCTCTCAAGTTGGATGATGCACTTTGGGCCTATCGCACTGCCTATAAGACACCTCTTGGACTATCACCATTTCAGATGGTTTATGGTAAAGCATGTCACTTGCCGGTTGAGATGGAACATAAGGCATACTGGGCTATCCGATTCTTGAATTTTGATCCAACCCAATCAGTTGAGAAGAGACAGTTACAGTTGAATGAATTGGAAGAATTGCGCCTTAATGCTTACGAGTCAGCTAAGCACTACAAGGAAAGGACAAAGCTGTATCATGACTGGAAGATTCTAAAGCGAGAGTTTCATCCGGAACAACTTATGCTCCTTTACAACTCTTGGTTGAGACTCTTTCCAAGGAAGCTAAAATCAAAGTGGTTAGGGCCATTCAGAGTTAAGCAAGTTAAGCCTCATGGAGCAATACAAGTGGAGGATGTTTCCTCCAAGGAGAGCTGGGTGGTAAATGGCCAAAGACTTAAACTCTACTTGGGCGGTGAAATTGAACGAGCTTATTTCACCGTTGCATTGGAGGACCCCTGAAGCTTTGGTTTGTCAAGCTAGTGACAGAAAACGAGCGCTTTATGGGAGGCAACCCATCATTCTTAATCCAAAAACTAGTTAACATGCCTTTAAATTCAGTTATTTTGTGTTAGTGTGTTCTAGGTGTAGGTGCATGGTTAATCATTGTGTTTGCTTCTTAGTCGAGAAAGCATTGTGTTTGTGAGGGCTTGAGGAACTTCATGTTTAGCTATGCTTGAAAATTTTGAAAATTTGCAGAAAAATTGAAATCCACGCTCAGCATGAAGTTCCAAGCTAAGCTATATCAGTGCAGAGGTAGAAGAATAGCTCTCTGGAGGTGCCACGCTAAGCCTCAGTCCCACGCTGAGCCTCAAAACTTAAACTTGAAAACTGGGAGTTCTCTCTGGAACTCCCACGCTCAGCCCTAGTCCCACGCTTAGCCTGGGAGTTCCTTTTTCATTAAATGTTGTTACTCTCTCTCCAGACGCCTATTTCTTTCCCTCTACCACTACTCAACCTCTCACAAACACTCTCAAAACCCTAGGTTACTTTCTTTGCTTCCTTGGTCGTGTTTCTCTTGGTGTGGGTAGGCTCCATTTTCTCTCCTCTTGTTCAAAGGCGCGAAGGTAAGTTCATCTCCCCTAACCTTGTGTGGTTTCCTCCCTTGTATGTTTCTTGGTTCCCATTCCTATTTTTCCCTAATCATCTAATCCCCAACCCATTTTTCGTGCAAACCCTTGTATCCATGGTGTTCTTGAGTTTATTTTCATGGTTGTTGTTCATTGATGAGATTTGCACATTTGGGGTGGCATATTTTTGAGTGGGTCTTCTTAAAACCCTTGGAAACATTGCTTTTGTGAATACCCAGTAAAAGATCTACGTTTTTGTGTGTTTTTGCTTGGGAAATATGCGTTCTTGGGCCAAAAAGGGGAGCCACGTACTGCAACAATGACGCTGAGCGTGGGCCTGACGCTCAGCGTGGCTATGACAACCTCATCTCATTTTTTTGCACTTCTCACGCTGGGCGTGATAATGGCGCTGAGCGCCCCTTTTGGCAGCCACATTTGGCCTCTATTTGTCATACTTTTGTGTTTTAATGGGTGAATTTTAGGAGCCTTCTTTGTTCACACTTTAAATTGAGTTGGTTGTCATGTTCACTTTGCTTCATTGTGGTTCATTGGTTGGCTTTAACCCTTAATTTCATTGTCCTTGCACTTTCATGTTGCCCAATTTTTCAGGATGGCTCCACCAAAGACACACCCGGAGAAAAGAATTAAAACTACTGCAAGGCAACCATTTCGTGGCCCTTCATTTGACTCTCACACCTTCCGTGACAAGGAACATCAAGAATTTTATCCCAAGTTGGAAGAAAGAAGTCTCTGGATGGAAAAGATGGTCAAACTCAAGCCAACCGAATATCCAGAATTCCAAGCAGAAATACAAAGAAGGAAGTGGGAAAAGCTAGCCTCGTACATGGCTTCTGCTAACATTTCTGTTGAGCGAGAATTTTATTGCAATGCTTGGGTCCTTAGCAAGGAGTTCCCTGAGTACACTAGCTATGTTCGGGGTATCACGATCAGGACTCGCCCCAAATTTTCATCCACCTTCAGCTGCAGCTTATTCTGCTCATGTAGCTTGGCCAGGGGGCCCTGCTCAACAACAGGGGGAAGGTGATGCAGCTGATGATGATGAGGAGTCTGAGGAGGAATCTGAGGAGGAGGATGACGATGAAGAAGAAGAAGAGTCGGATGAGGCTGAAGAGGATGAGGAGAAAGACTAAGCTGTTTCACTTTGGAAAACTGTATTTTGTTATTTTATTCTGTTATTTTGCTCTGTTATTTTGTCTTGATTATCCTGTTGTGTACTATTTTATTAACCTTTTACCTTTTGTTGCGTACATATTTCAATGCCTCTGACTATTTAGTTTTAATGCGTTTTGAAAACTGGAAACTCAAAAATCAGGTGAGCATGTATCCCTTAGTGAACAAAGGTATTTTGAGACACAAGATCAAATATGTTTCTGGTTGCACTCTAGGGATGATTAGTGATAGTGTATGATAGTTACTTTTGTGGTTAATGACTGTGGCATGATACTTTTGAAAAGTTTTGAGCACCTTTATTAGCCCATGTGAGTTTTGGCCCCTCTTGTTGTTAGAGTGTTACCATTTGATTTCATGCGGTTGATTTTGCTTGAGTCTCTTTTGAGTTTGCATAGCATATGTTGTTTAGAGATGATCAAGGCAATTTTTCTTGTAAATTTGAGCCACTTGACCAAAAAACCAACCTAACAAAAAAAAAGTGAATCCATTGCACCCTACTTTGAGCCAAACAGTGAATTTATTGAGAACCTTGAAGTCCTTAAGAAAAACAAAATTCTCCCACACCTTAGGAATAAGAGAGCAGTCAAATTGATCATAAGGGGAGAAAAGTCTTAAGTTTGGGGTATTTTGGGGTGATCATTGTTGCTGAGCATATGGATAATTGTTGCATGTTATGGTTGTACCACTGTGGCCATTAGTCAATTGTTATTCAAAATCAAAAAGAATTTCAAAAATAAAAAAAAAATCAAAAGAAAAAGCAAAAGAAAAAAAATCAAAAATCAAAAAGGTGATCAAAATATGTG